CCCCCCCCCCCCCCGAAACCGATTTCACAGAACACGCCGAGCTCCTCCTCCTCCTCTGACCAGCAGACAAACCCGCGATGTAGTTATGTGATGAGCGAGGAGCAAAAACAAGGGGGTGGTTTTCTTAGCTGCATGAGAGAGTGAGCGGGTTAGGAGGGGTGCTGGGTCACACTTTCTCTCCCTCTTGTTAATCCTGTAGCTTTTCCCTCTCGTTCAAGATTTTACCAAGGTCACTCTCAGAATGTTTGCCTCTCTGTTCCTCTAGTCTCTCGTCTTTCTCTGCACCTCACTCTGGTGAATCTACAGGCGACTGTTTTCTCCCTGGCTGTTATACTGCAGTGTTAACTGATACGAATTTTCTTTTGGTCCAGTTTAATGGAAAAGCCAAATTGAATCCAGGTCAAATACTAATCAAAATATTTTAGCATATAACATTAATGCTGTTGGTCATATATATGATCTACAAACGTGAACAAGAAAGGTCTTCAGTGAAAAAAACATATTGTATGTTGTGCCATATTCTGCCACCGCTCTTCTTGAGTCTTACATTTAGGAAAACATGCAGAGATAGCTGTGACCTTAATTATGTTTGATTGATTGAGCTGCAACAGTGTTATTAGTTCAAATGAAATGTTTTACAGTGGAATTACTTTGTCAGTTGACATAATAAGTAATGCAGATGTCCAACTGTACAGATTTCATTGGTTTGTGGGAAGGAAAAAAGTCGATTTTTAACAGTGAAGTCTATAATCATAAAGTCTGATTTGGCAAAGTTTGGACTGCTGCATGTTGTGGTCTGGATAAGTCAAACCTGTAATGTTCATAATATTATGATTATAATCAATATTTCCTCTCTAAATGAGATGGCGTTACTTTCCTGTCGAGAACCACAGAACAATTATCCTGCTGCTTTTCTCATCTATTTGATTTACAGTACGGGATAAAGTAATGTGCAGTACCTCTGTGCCAGATATGGTTTGGCATCAGCGTGTATATCGTGTGAGTGGTGTGTGACATATACTGTATAAATAAATGTGTGTGTGGAGTCAGTTAATGGGAGTGTGCAAGCAGAGAGCTACTTGTTATTCTATGTGGGTTTTGATTTTGCTAAGAGGAGACGGGGGGACACATCCTGTATCACTACTGAGAGGGACTGGGACCATCCATCCATCCATCAACCCTCTACGAAAAACTAGAGAGAAGGAAAAACTGTCAATAAACAAACATAAATCAGATTGTTTTCCATTGTCTCTGGCAGTTAAATCCGCTTCTTGTCTTCCCTCTTGTTTGTATTTGGCATTAATGCTTTGTTCTTTTTCCTGTTGGCAGTGATAAGGGCAAAGATCTCCGGAGAGAAGATAGTGTCGCCTAGCAACAGCTCCTCACCTTACATGAAGATGATCCAGTATGAAATCAAAATGATCAAGGTGAGACCTCTGGGCAGCAGTAAAAGCAGCAGCTGGTGCAGATATACATAATATTTACTGTTTGTGTAGCTGCGTATGCGTGTGTGGGTATTGTCTTCATTACATTTGTCAGGAGGAGAAGAAGTAAATAAACTCTAACTGGCTGCGTGAGCAAACAGGTCCCAGAAATGTCTAAAATATGTGTGGATGGCAGCATTCAAACACAAAAGAAGTTCATTTGTTCCACATGTGCACATGACCACCTCCGCTTTACCTACTGCTGTAGAAGTTAATAGAAATACAGAGCAGAATCCTGATCTGCTCTTGATAAGAGTCTCCGTTTTACATCCAAAATGTTTTTTTATTTATTTACAGACATAAATATCTCTACGTTTTGGAGTTTACTTCATATCTGTCAGCTTTTTATCAGGCCAGAATTGTACATCCCCTTTTTTCTTGAAACACCAACCTCTTCACTCTCTTCTCTCTGCCTGTCTTTGATTTCAGATGTTCAAAGGTTTTGATAAAGCCAAGGATATCCAGTATGTGTACACTCCAGTCTTCTCCTCACTGTGCGGAGTCAAACTGGACTACAACAATAAAGCAGGGTACCTTCTCTCAGGTATAATTGAGAGTCAACACAGACCGCGTACAGAAATGTCTAACTAATACATCAGTGTTGTTTTCAGTGAGAATACAGAGTGACAATTATTTCCTCGTCCCAAATGGCTGTTTTAAAGGAATAGTTGAAAATGTCGTGACATTTGCTTATTGGCTTTCTTGCTAAGAGTTAGATGATACCATTCTCATCTCTATACAGTAACTACAGCTGTCAGCTGGTTCACTTAGTCCGGCATAAAGAAAACAGCTGGTCTGGTTTATAGACTGTATACAAAGATGGACTACGCATCTCATGTGATCATGTTGTGATGTCACCAGGGAGCATGTGGAGCGATGGGAGGATTTCTATTGGCCAATGCGACCTGGTCGAGTCGTGGGACAACTTATCACTGTCACAGAAGAAGAATCTCAACTACAGATACCAGATGGGCTGTGAATGCAGAGTGAGTAAGGACTGTTCCCTCATTCTTCATACATATTTATCTTTGTCCCTTTCCTCTTCGTCTGTCTCAGAGAAGAGGAAGCATAGCAACTGAGCTCTTGAAGCACAAAGGTTTTCTCGTCTCTTTAACTTTCTTTTCCATTTTTGCACAAAAAAAGGTTTTCATGTGTCTTGTGATCATTTTTTCCATTGGAAATTCAAATCTCATGGCATAAAATGTCCTCAGAGACACTGATTAAGTCTCCTAACCCCCCCCCCCCAAAAAAAAAAAACCATTTGCGAACAAATAATGAGATGAGTGGGGAATAAATCAAATACTCTTCTCCCCTCAGATCAACACTTGTTATACGGTGCCCTGTGCGTCTACAGGAGAAAACGAGTGCTTGTGGACTGACTGGCTGCTGGATAACAGCCTTAACGGAGAGCAGGCTCGGCAGTACGCCTGCATCCGCCGCTCTGACACCACCTGCAGCTGGTACAGGGGTGGACCCCCACCTGAGAAAGACTTCTTGGAGATGAGTGACCCCTGACCTGTAATTTCACTCCTGTAACGCCTTTCCTGCTTCGTGCTTATGTGGCTCAAATTTGGCGATTCACTGAAAAAAAAAAGGGCAGATCTTTATGTTCGAGGGAGCTTAACTCACTGCCGAGCTTCTGCTAGCAGAGTTCAGGTGGTTTCTACAGCAGTGCTAGGGAAAGTTTTATTATCTGCAGGGGCTTTCAGCAGACCTCTGAGTCATTTTCATGCTCTCACACATTCCACTCCACTTGCTGATTTCCACAGAATAAGAATATGTGAAGTCCTTTCACTGCATATTATTCAACCCAGTGAATCTGCTCTCTAACATCTCTGTGGAGAGAAAATACATAACCTTTGCAAAAGAAAAAATCAAGGACCTCATATTTGCGCATGCATAACTTAGAAAGAGTTATATAGTAATCTGAGCTATATTTTCTTAAAGATGTATAGGGGAGGTGGATAATTACAGTAAAATAATGGGGGGAAGTAGAGGGAGAAAATAGATGCTTACTTCTGCCACAACCCTGCATAGCAAAGTGTACTTTACACACTGTCAACAGATCTTCTGAGCACTGCCACCTTCTTTGGTGTGGAATCTTTACCTTTCTATCGACATAACTGTCCCATGCAAATGAAAACGCAACAAGGCAACACCAGACGTCCACAATTAAAATTTGACAAAATCTGACAGACATGTATATTATATATTACCCTAATTATCGTCCATCCACACCACAACAGTTTGAACTCTCAAATTTCTGAGACTGTAAATATTGTATTTCAGTGAAAATTAACATTTTAAAGGCTAACCGGATCTTGTCTTAGAGCATGTAGAGGTTTTTATCTTGTGTGTGTGTGTGTGTTTAGTTTCCTTGGTTAAACTCTATTACTATTTCCTGTGCCAAAAATCTAATCGAGCGCGTTAACAACAGCACTGCCCCCTGTAGAAGCCACACCCCGTTTCTTAAAGAAAATGATGTGACAGGACAGGGTTCAATTCATGATTTTAATTTATGATTTTTAGGAAGTGGTTTCTGCTCGAGCTTCAACTTCAAGAACAGACCGTAAAAACTTTGGCGTAAGATATTAACTAAGAAGAGGAGAAATAAATGAGATGTAGTTAATGATTATCAGGGATGCAAACAACTCAGCCTCTTGGCAGGGACAAATCCTCTTTAATGAGTAAACTCAGCTGTCAGGACGTGTTGCAAGGACCTCACATCACAGGGTTGTTTATTCTTGTCTTGCAAACAGTAGGAACCCACCGCTCTTTCCCTGCACTTGTTGTTATTAATGTTACAATTTTGGCATCGATTACGACATAAGTTGATTATTCTATTTTTCGGTGTTTGCTAAAACAATGTTAGCAAGGCTGATACTTTATTGAACGGTTTGTAACAGGCAAATTCATGATACCACACTGTAGACATTTATCTAAAAAGGACCAGTGTTTTGATGTATTTTAACTGAACGCTTTTTACAGTAGCCTGATTATGTCTCTTTAGAAGCGGGCAAATGTCAAGCTGACTGAGAAGCTGAACTGGAAATACCTTGTGGCAGTTTCTGTTTAGTAGTTGTGGTTAAATGTCATATCTAAGTCCTGTCTTAATTGGTCAAACATCAGTTGCAACAGCTGTAAAGGGCAAAAACACATTCATTATTTACTCACTCCACCTGCCTCCCTCTGCCCCCCCCATTCTCCAGGTCTCCCCTGACACCCTTTCTTCCCCCGATGAGTTTGCATCCCTGGATTTAAGACATTATTTAATATAAAAATTCAAAGTCCCAAATCTGAATTGACCCCTGTCTGGTTACTGGATTACTTCGCTGAAGTCATACAGATAAAAATGCATCATCACTTATTATTTTCATGCATTAGCAGGGAAATTATAAACATTAGGGTCATTTTGAACAATAACATAGTTTCATTTTAACTGCACAATGCAGTAATTTGTTAAATTTGGAAAATGTGTTAATAAATACAGATGCATTATAATTGTATGGCTTTAGCAAAGAGCTATTAAACTATTTCATGTTTGTTTTATACTGAACAAATTGTTTTGGTTTGTATTTATGTCTCTGTTTCTGTCTAAATAGTTTTTTTTTATTTCCATGTACCAAAAAAGATTGTATATAAAATGTCTCAATGGATGAAAGTGTCACAGACTCTTTATTGATTTTCTTCTGTATACAAAAATAAGACTCTACAGCACCTAACTGAGAGGTGACATTAACATTTACAAAAATATTTACATAAGAGTAGTCTCTGCAGTAGCCTATATGTATGTACTAAATCGTATGTACTATTTCTACTTCTTTAACAAACAAACCTCATAAATGTTCTATAAAAAAATATTCTTACCATGTCTTTGTAGTTGGGGTAGAAGGTCTGATCAATAAGAGGGAACTTATCCGAACCCAACCTCTTCTGATTATTGATCAGCTGAGAAAACTGGAGGAAACAAGAACCAAGAGAGAGAAGCAGAAGTGAATCGACTTCAAATCAAACATAAGGACACAATGGTAAATGGTGTGTAATCATATTGTTGTTTTTCTAGTCTTGATGACCACTCAAAGTGCTCTACAGTAAACTTTTGCCATTCACACACACATTTATATAGTGCATCTATGGGAAGCACTTTTTCTATAAGGGGCTATTCAGGGTTCAGCATCTTGCCCAAGGACACTTCCCCAGATGCGGCAGACTGGGATCAAATGCCGACCTTCTGGTTGGAGTATGACCGATCTACCCCTCAGCCACAATTGCATATTACACTCGTATTACACAATGAGTGTAATACGCCTACAACAGGATCATTTTCATAAAGTAAAAATTGCTGCCATCGTGTTGTTATTGTGCAAAGGTTCATATGAAAGTGACATCATATGTTCCAAATTATCTTGATTAAAACTGAAATGAAGCTGCCACCTCCATTAAAAGCATATTTCCACATCTCCTCAGGCCACAGTCATTAAAGCACTGTGTGGGTTGTGTCAGTTGTTAATGAGTTTTGCTGGAAATCCTTACGGCCCAAGGCTTGTCGCAGAGATTGTAGATGGAGTCCAGAGAGTTGACCGAGGGGACGCCCGCATACTGCAGGCCGATGATCAAGTTCCTGAAGTCCTCGTTCTGCGCCATGCTGAAGGCGTGCTGTCGCACCAAGACAAAGTCGGGCCTGAACGACCTGGATATGAGAGATTAAATGAAGCTGAAATAATAAAAAAAAAAATTCTAGATTGTTTTGTTGAGCATTTCTTTTCACAGTCTGTCTGTCTAACATTTTTGATAAGTACAGTATGCAGATGTCAATGATGAAAGTGAGGGGATGACATTAAACACAGGCTCGGTAGAGATTAAAAACCAGCCATAAGTGAAAGGTGAAATAAATCTATTTTCAACTTGTGCTGCAGCAGTGAGAGAATAATAATTTCTTGGATGCTAGATGCTTGAATTTGATGTTAAATGAAGCCTGAAGTTGATAATTAATATGACAGTTGTTTTCTTATTATGTGCAATAAAAATGACACAACAATCTTAATGATATGACTTTATAATGGATCAATTTGCAAGCATCACTGAGTCAGAGGCAAATCTATGAGATGAAAAGTATCATTAAAGGAGGAATTTTCATTTAAACGCATGCAACCTCCATGCACGTGTTTGTCTGGCCTGAACCTCTGCAAGAGTCTAACTATTTCACCTCCTCTTCTCACATGATGTTTTCCTCTGAAATATCTAAAACATAGAATAAACTCTCCTCACAGGTGAAAACTGTTAAGTAAAAATTGACGTTTCCTCTTCTTATCTCGCACAGAGAATTTCACCTTTTGCTTTCCTGTGTTTTTAAACTGTAAACAATGTTAAACTGAAATATTTAATACAATTGAGCAGTGGGTCTTAGGTAAATGATTGATGAGCCTTCATGTTTTAATGCTTCACTAGAGACGGTGAACTGATAAATGGTGGGAGACTGTGGTGATAATTCACTCAGCACAAAATCTGTGGTAAACAAACAAATTAGTGTCTCTCAGGAGGGATGCTGGTAAAAGTCTGTAAAATGAGTTTAGAGAACTGGTTTCCAAAGTCATTCAAAAGTACATTCAAATACTATAAATACTACACAGGAGCCAGTGCAGGGGTTAATTCTACCCAAGACCGACCTGGCACTTTATACCAGTAGTGGTATCTCTTATGTTCCAATGAACACAACTGGAAACTCCCATTTCCTACCAATGGTGTTTCTTAAAGCATGACCGCAGGCAATCTATAACCTTAACCATGTGGTTATTGTCACTGTAATCACCTGTAACCTTAGCAAAGTAGTCAGTGGTAATTCTTGCCAGTGGTGTTCAAACCCAAACCACAAGGTTTCCAAATTAGCAAAGCATCATTCTTAATCCGTAACCATAAAACAGTCCTATTGTGCCATTTGTTGCCATTTACAGCACAGACAAATCCAGCCGTGCTGCTGTATGTGGCGTCATGTCTAATGGGCACTGACAAAATGTGTTGGGCGACTGGTTGTATCTTTACTACTTTTAATAATAACAAGGTTCTTAATCTGTGCTGATATATACAATTTGAGATTGAGGTTATTAACCACTCTTAGTCGGGTCGAGGGACTGGGCGAGGACTGGAAGGCGACTGGATGGTAACTGAAATCTGATATTCGACAACTGAGAGAAAATGTGGCATGAATGTGCCAAAGTAAAAATAAAACTGCTCAATGTAATAACCTGTTCATAGTTTGGGGTTGTATTATCCGCTACAATTTGGAAGGTTTCATGACTTTTTAATGCTTTACTTAGAATAAATGTGTGAATCTCAATAGAAAAACTCTAAAAAACCTTGAACGTTATATGAAAGGTTGATGGTGATGGGACATAACACCTGTTACTTCCTCTGAATATGTGAGAGCTAGGAGATGTGAAGAAAGACAAGGGGGTGGACATAGAGAGCGAGAAAAACAGAGTAAAAGAGATGTAGAGATCAGTGAGAGAAAAGAGACAGAAAGAAAACTCTGGCACAGTGTGACCACCACCGGCTCTTTATGCTCCGAGAATACTAATCAGACTCGGAGAAGCTAAAAAGACTCTGGTGGGGAGGACACAGCAATTAATGTGACAATAATCTCTTCATTATTGACAGTAAATTGTAAACATCAGCAGGGCCTTGACTCTTCTCTCATTTGGATACCAAAACCAGTGTTGCCAGCAATTCATACTAACTGGTTTTCACTGCATTGAGGGAGGAAAAAAGTTGAAATGAAACCACTCATGAAGAGACATGAAGTTAGAAAACAGAAGTCTGCAATCTCTTCTTTTTTTTTTAACCAGAAGCACTGACAATATAATTTTTTCATTATTATAGTTTTCCTGCTGAATTCGGATTTAAGAAGGAAGAGAGAAAGCCCTGTGAAGTTTATTTATTTACGCTTCATAAATTTGGCTGCTAAAATCCAAAAAGACTAGAGCTTCGATGTTCCATGAAAGATGCATCTTAAAATGTCAACAATTACAGAATAAACCCAGTTATTCCATAAACACTTTATCTCCAACAAATCACGAAAAGATGGAAAACCAACCAATGATTGTTGATCATTTGACTGATCCTAACAAGTGTTTTTATTCCTGTTTGCCACAGACCTCCTTTTTGTTCACTTGATATGAAAAAGACATGAATGAGCTGCACTGTTATATCAGCTTTATGAGGTCAAGATCAAGTAAATACTCAGTAGAACAAGAATGACTGTATCAAACTTGTACAACTTCTTGTTATTTGCTATTTTTTTGTAAAAAAGTGAAAAATCCGTATTTAAAGATTTACATTTATGAGTAAGAACAAATTGGTTTGGGGCAAACAAAGACGTACTGAGACAGATTAACACATTGTTGGTTTCTGTCTTTTCAGAAAAATAGATAACAATGCTGCACTTATCCTTTAACAAAACAACAATACTGTATCCTGGACCTGCTCTATGCTAATGTTAAAGAGGTCGAACTCACACATTACTTTTTGCACACAATTTGAACATTTTTCCATTTAATGCGTGTTCATATTGATAATTTCTGATTTAATTCTTAACAATGCATGCACCAATGAGATAAGCAAATGTTCAATTCGCAGTAACACAACTCAAAATGTTATTTGCGACCGTGTCCCTGATATTTCCATAGAGTGTTACAGATGGAATATAATAATCTTGATGCCTCTTCCTCTCCTTTAACACAAAATCCTCTGACTCATCATTTGCTCAGGGATTGAAAATCATGAACTTCCACATGTTCTACCCTGTAAATATTTCCCATAGTTCATAAAGTAGCTGCAGATTTTGTAGAGACATTTGAAAAACATTATGTCCTCTCTGGGGTTGAGGTTAACTCAGCAATACACAGACTGCAAAATCACTGCTCTGACGTGAATACTTCTGTCAGCTCCAATGAGTCAAGGTTTCCCTGACCTCACATTAAGTCAGTGGACAGTGTTGAGTGTATGTTTGTGTGTGTGAGCATGTGAGGACCGGCCCCTCATAAAGCATAATTACAGGCAGAAGATGCTGATACTCAGACTGACGCTGCTGTCCTCATTTCCTCCTGGTTTTGTTTCCTGGTGACAGTTACTGTCTCGCATTGGGGCTTTTTCTGAGACACTGGTGCCTGTGTGGTTTTGTAGTGTGTCTGCGTAATTGTCTGCTCTACGGTGTATTCACATGTGTGTACGCAGATCTACTGTGCCAGTCTGAGGGTAATGGCTGTGGCCACATGTCTCCAGCTCTTTTTCCACCAATCAGAGATTTTAGTAAACAAGTGTATTCATCATTTTCAAGAGTGTTCTGGGAAATTCTCCCTGTGATCGCATAGATAGGTCTTTGGAGCATCATTAATTGATGCGAAAACCTGGTAGTAATAGTGTAACACTGCACTGGGGTTTGAAAACTGATGGAAATCTTTGTGTTCTATTATCCTCCAAAGTGGGGACTTGCATTGAGATTTGTTTTGAATTTTTTTGTGACGTTTTAGGATTCTATTTCATAATAATTTAATAATGGAACAATTAATGTCAAACACAACAAATTGATTATGCTGTTGACAGTTTCCTAATGCTTACTGAAGACACAATCACCTCAAAACAACTACAACAATTCAGTCTTGGGACACACATTTGTTTAGACTCACAGCCCCACAACATGATAGTAATATTAAATGTATCCCTCAAGGAGAAAGTTTAGGTCAAACAAATAAAAAATGATTTAAGACACCACGAAACATTTAAAACTACAAATATGATAATGCAAGAAAAAAAGTTAAGGATTAAATACCCTTGCAAATAGTGTAATTAATCCCCAAAGCAGAGACACAATGTGGGGTTGTTTCAGTGTCAGAAGATGAGGTCCAACTGATGGTGGTGAGGTTAGGTTGCATTTTTTGGTTGTAATGAGGGATTAATCTCATGACCGATGTCAGGATGTAGGGTTAAAGAAAAAACTAAGGTGGGGATTGAAAGTAGGATCTTAATCACTAAAGATTCTCAATAACACACTGCGTGTACATGTGTGAGCCATGCATGTGTGGTGCTGACCTGACCACTTTGGTACCACTCCTGACGACCTGCATGTCCACGTTACAGGTTCCATTTGAGTGCGAGATGAGGTTGACCTCCGAGAACTCGGCCTACGAAAAGGAAAAGGGAAAAGGATGAAGGGGCAGTTTTATTAGTTACACACATTAAGTCTTGACATAAACACTGATTGAATACTCAGAAATCCCATTAAACAGTAAATGGCCCTTGCGCTTTAAATAAACAACTGTAACAACTCATATACAAGAGGAAAACCAGATGATTATACTGTCAGTGCTCCTGGATATTGTGCGAACTAAAGACATGTGATATGTCACCTCTAATCCATTGTTGCAGACACATAATTTTTTCATTTGAGTCACTTGTACTGGGAGCAAAACAAACAAAATAAAATACTGAAAAATGTTCTCGCTCAACAAATCCCCTCTGCAGAGACAATACAATGAAATGAAGAGAAATATTTTGGTACAGAATACAAATTTGTTTTACTTATTTTGTGTACTGCTAATATTCTTCATTGTTTTTACTGGGAAACAAACACATATCATATCATAGTATACAAATAACACATTTATTCAGGTACAAAACCATACTGGGCTTTGGTGTGGTTGCAGACTACAGTGGGGATTTCTTTGTGACTCATAGCTGCCGACTCTGGTTTCCTCCAGTGACTATTTTTGTTTCTGTGGCGAGACTTGTGGTTGTAATTTAACTGTCAACATCTATTAGGTGTGAAACTGTTTGGTGTGAAATCCCAGAGACTTGTCATTTCAAATGCAGTAACTAAAGCTTGATTCATGCATCTGCGTCGAAATTACGCCTCAGGTGCGCATGTAGCCTACGCACGGGGCCGAGCATTCATAGTTGTGCGTAGGCGCGTGAGTCACGCTGCGTTTACACTGCTGAAACGCTAGTAGCAGTAGAGTTTCTATGCCGGTGTTGAGTGTCTTCTGGTTTCTGGTCCGCTTATTTACGAATTCTCTGGTGTCTCTGTTTATTTCACCATAATCACCATCTTGGAACAACTAATATCTTTTCCAACTTTGGAGCCAGTCGATCAAGTAGATGTGAAAATGTTGACCCCATGATGCTGAGGGGAAGGTAGAGGATCATCTAGGCTGTTAGAATTCAACCTCTGGGATCCATGAATATGTGTCGGAAAACGCATGGAAATTTCAGTCATGATGAAGCATTTGGACGAACAACGCCATCCCTATAGCCCTGACTCTGGCATGGCTAAAAACGTGCTTTAGGCCCAGAATATGTTGCAATGGTCCAGACAGGCAGAGACACTTAACTTGTGACCTCATATTACTGTAACCTCCATCTAACGAGGCGGAGTGACAGCACTTATTCTTTTACACTTTAGCCTCTGGGTTATTTTAGGTACTTCTAACTTGTTGTAAAAAGTAAAACACAAGTGGATCTTATATGAAAGCGATTTTGTCATTTTGCTATAAAATGTGTTCGGCATCAGTTTCTCTTCTTGTCAGTGAAATTGTAAGCATTTCCACATCAAGTGATTATGGTGTTAGTCCACTTTCATCTCTGTACTGATCCCGCTTACTCTTTTATAAATGACTCTGCAGAATCATAGGTCTATAAAATCAATGTGATACCTGCTCCACTCTGATGTCGTAGTCTCCAAGGATCTTCTTTCCCCGAAACACTTTGGCCCTGGGAAAAAAAAGGGAAGAGATTGAGACTGACATTTGTGCAGCTGTCTTTGCTGCCCTCTACTGGACATCACACTTCCTGAGGAACAAATGATGGAGAGAAAATGGATGCCTGCTCGTGGGCTGTTAATGGCCAAACTTTCTCAGTTGTAGGAGACTGTATTTTCTAATGAGATTTTTGAGCAGCTTAAAATGATTCAGCAAATCAACGTTGCCAAACCAAAACTGCAATTAGTGTCCATCAATGGGCTGTAACATTAAAATCAGATTAAACCTGCAATTCTGTTACAAATATTAAAGCGTCATCTTGCAGCTTGAATGATGAATGTTCCCAATAACCATCTGAATTGATGTTGACTTCTTAATATCTTGGCTGCTACTTGCTCAAGAGGGATGTAGAAATAGATTGCAAGCAAACACACACACACACACAAAGAGAGGCAGATGGAGGGCAGGCAGACAAAAACAGACTGATGGAGAGAAGGAGACGAGCAGAGGCACACAGACCGCCAGCCAACACAAACAGAAAAAATGCTCAGGACATTTTATTTTAGACTACACTGTGAATGTATCGCAGATGGTTTACATCATCAGCCCATACATTAAAGTTGAATATAGTGATAACCATGAGCCTGATAAAATGGCTAAAAATAAAAACTATGACTGTTTTTATAGAACCTATTTAAATAAACAAACCAACATATTGATCTTTAAGAGGGCTTGTCTTTTAAATCATTGTGTTTCTTGAAGCAGCATCAGTTTGTGGAATGGGCTTATCCTACAAAAATGGTATCAGCAGGTTCCTCATTTCTCTAAACAGTATCACTGCTTATATGCACCACAATCTGCCATTAAATTGAGTGTGTGTGTGTGTGTGTGCTCATGGTCCCTCTGTACACCACAATTAAAATGAATGCAAGGTTTGTTCCCTATAACCTCATAGGACCGTGTGTACAGCAGCACAGAAGCATCTGGCTTGTTAGTTTGGTTCATTAGGATCAGACCATCTGTGGCAGAGACACTCTGAGGGCACGACGCAGGAACTTTTAACTATCACTAACCACACCGGCAAAATTGGTGACCTTAGTATTAGAGCGATACATCTTTCTCAGTCCCCCTACAAGGTGAATTTTGATTGGTGTTTGTTTTTTTGGGAGAACAGGAAGCTGCTTGAACACACTGTGATGTTGCTATAACCCTCCACCACTGAAACCTCTTACATAAAGAAACAAACACACGACAGGCGTCATCGCTCTGACTGAAATGTGTCATCGGTGCAGCTTTAATTCAAAAGTCAAATTGCAGTTTTTCTGGAGGATTCAATGCAAAATCAAGCATCTCTAGCCCCACTGCTGTTGAATGTGGCTCTAAGGAGCAAATGAGGCTCCACATTCAGCCTGTGTTCAGCTTCTGCAGTGCACAATGGGAAAACAATACACAGAGCCATGGGATGTCAGGCCAACGCAGTAATTGAGAATTACAGGCTAGTGTTCAACTGAAAGGCTGCTGATGTAGCTCCTTCATTTAATTCCATTAAAAAGCATAATGTAGCTGCCACATAGCAAAACACACCATCTGCGAATATGAATCCTAACAGAGCTGTTAGTGAAATCCCGACAGACTACACTTCCCAACACAAATTAAAAAGTAGTCCAGTCATGCTTTCTATAGAACCATCCCCAAAATAAAACCCTTACTATTACTGTAACTCCATCCTCTCCGGCATAAGCCAAACGTCACAGAGTTTCATCCAGCTCAGAAACATGTAGCATGTAGCATGAAACCCAATAATTTCTTACTTCAGATCGGCTTGTCATCATTTAGCTTGGTGCTCAAGTATATACAGTACTTGGGTATAATCTTTTTTTATTTCTCGTCCATGCATTTTGACCAAGTAGAACCTACCTATGTTTCTATAGTAACTGCAGAGAATTTGTTTGCTCAGTCAATGTGTGGGTGACATTAAGATTTTCAGCAGATCTCAGTGTTGCTATAATCCAAATAATACAGAGTGGAAAACTGAGCCAGAAATAAATGTGAATTTACAAGTACATGCTCTTTAATTCATGAGGTCCACCGCTCAAGAATGCACATCTGGCGTAAACATCTGAAGACTGGAGCGGCTCTGAGTTTTTTTAGGATAAATATACCCAAATATATAATGCTGTAGAAACTGGGAATCTCAGGAAGTATGAGAAAGTGATATTGATGGTATGATAAGTATCAACAGTTTTTATGTGAAAGTCATGTTGAGCTAATATGTTTTTGAACAGGCTGTATGAAGCTTCATCATCAAATAATGGACTATGAGGTTTTTCCTGCCTTGATGACACAGGTCATGTGACAGGATGCCCCTGGAAACATCACCACCAAACTGGGCTACATTCAACAGCTGAGCATGAGATTACATTTTTAATATTGATCTGTTGATTAATCCTTTCATGTGCATTGTAAGAGAAAGATGACAGAAAGAAGGAGATTTGGGAAAATACAGAGAGGTGGACTTAGTGTTTCAAACTATGGACCTTCAAAATGTAATTAGCCCTTAAAAATTCAAATACATCAATATAGTCATATTATTATTTATCCTAGCTTGGTTCCTCTGTCTACTCTGTTTCCTTAAATCTTTTCTAAACTACAAATTGACATTTGCTCACATTACATGAAACGGTCAGAATTAGCACAAGAAATATCCTCTTCAAGCTTTGCTTTACGTGGCTTATAGTCTTGTATAATATAATGAGTTACAATTGACAAGAATAACCACTGTAATCAGGGTGTAATGACTGTGTCTGCTTCTAGTTACAGTATGATTCATATCACATCATGACAGGTGATGTTCCTTCTCACACACTCCCACACTTCCTTGCTATTCCTCACCCCCCTCCCTTTCTCCTTTACTGTACTTCTCCCACTCAGCCTCTCAATTCATTATTTTCCCCACACATCTGTTCTTCTCTCCCCTCTCTGCTTATCATGATCGATTCAATGCAAAGACACATTAAAGGAATGTATGCATACAAATGAGCCATGCATGTCAAGTGGCTGCTTTTTTTAATGGGTTCAGTCAAACAAGAATGATTGTGCAGGGGCGATTGTTTTGCTAAGCCGTTTTTAAAATTTAGAAATAGCAAGTCAAGATTAAGGAAGTCAGAAATAAATGAACTATTGATAAATTATCTGACAGCCCTTGAATGATTTTAATTGTTTATAATGCTTTTTTCAATGAGCTGCACAAAAACAGCCCTCCCCCTATTCTGACCATTGCATAGTCACTCTAGCAATGTAAGACTTAACATACCCTGGCCTTCTCATCGCTTGATCCATGAATGGAGTGGAGAGTGTTAAACAAGAATCTCACTGTTGGGGTAAAAGGGCACAAAAGGTGTAACAACAATCCTGTCAGCTCGAGCGTGGTGGGAGACAGAGTCATTATTTGGCCAGCTGGCAAGTCGGCTATAGAGATGAGAATACAGTGGAAGGAATAGCACTGGAGCTGGTGAATAGTTTTGGCTGCAGACTAAGATTTATTTTCAGTTTCTATATAAACTTTCTGTCTGCATGCTACCTGTTACTGTAAAGCAAGTGTTTTCCTACTGATGACAGAATTTCTGCCAAATGCTATTCAATGATAAATCTCTTCAATAAGAACCAGGCAAGAAGGTTGGTTGATTTATATGCAGCAAAGCTCATAATGTGCATGGGAAGAAACAAGTTCTTCAACAGGACACCACAGGCTGAAAATGTGATAAACAGGAAATAAAGAAAGATCATGGTGTAGGGAGTGGAAGCATAAAGTCATGAAAAAACAGACAAACATTTTCATGACAAATTGTGTTTGTCTTTTTCATGGCACACTACCTTCCTTTATTTGTAAATGGTAAATGGTCTGTATTTATATTGTGCTTTTCTATGACCACTCACAGCGCTTCACAGTACAGGTAATTGCCATTCACCCATTCACACAGTGCATCTATGGGCAGCACTTATTCTAAGAGGGGAAATTCGGGGTTCAGTATCTTGCCAAAGGAAACTTTGGCGTGCAGATGGGGAAGACTGGCATCGAACCACTGACCTTTTGGTTCTACATATCTCTATAAACACATTCAAATTGATCTCTATAAACAGATTCTGCATGTGAATATGCTGGATCTGTAGGCACGGGACAAGATTTTGGAGCTGGAAGCCTTCTGATGTCTGATTCTAGTTTGACCAACCACGTTTGAGCAGGCTTTGGTTGCCGTGAGGAGCCAAGCAGGCAGAACACATTGACTAAAATGAAAAAGTACTGCTGTTTGTGTTTTGTCTGGAGAAACATTCGACTCATGTAGACTTGTCAGACTGTAAATAGTGTAAGGTGAATGAAAGATGGAGTCTAGGCCTAGATATCTACGGTCAACACTGGAAGCCTCAAAATATTGGCCGTCACCCTCGAAGGCTAATTCATCGTCTGAAGATTACCAACTTTCTTTAACTAAGATTGTCGTCAAAAACTTGACATCTGTACAGTCGAGACTGTGATTTTTGTCATCAACTCATTATGCATTTTCCAGCCTCTTCTGACACTGTGACATAGTCATTGGAGGACTGCAGTGAATCAACCAGAGACTCTCAGAGACATACAATTACTTATCTTCTCTCCAAGCAGAAGTTTTACCGTTTGACATCTTGATTGTTCTTCTGTGCACATAATGGGCACAAGAAGAAAAGAAAATAGCCAAAAGAACCAGAGTTGGTGATTGGCTGCACCGACTGAACATGCTCAGCATACCAAGCTTTACATCAATCAGTATCGACTTGGCTCATGTGTCCTTTCAGGGTGTCGCTTGAATTATTCAGCTGCAGCACATGATCATGCCATCATCCACTCTGCTCTGTCCTGCAGGAATTCAGGTATAAAAAGACTGATAGCATTTTTAATGCTACAATGACAAGGAGACTTATCATAATTTATTATCTTGTCATTGGTCAATTTAAATGTATGTAAGCAGCTCTGCAACG